CCGAACATCATTTTACATAAATGTGTTCTGACCACGAGGCACCCCTGGGGTCCCTCTGAATCTGCTGTGATTCTGGGGCCTGCCTGGCCGACGAATCATTCATTGCTCAGTTAACCTCCTTCCAATTTGATTCTGCTGAAGTTTTTCTTTGAACAGGAGTTCCAGGAGACATGACCACTACATGTAACGCAATCTCCTGGATGGGATCCTGGACCGGCCACAGGGGAAGTGGATGATAACTAAGGAAATGTGAATACAGTACGGACTTCAGCTAATAATCATGTGTCACTATGGGTGCATTCACTGGGATAAATGTAGCCCACGAACACAAGGTATTAATCAAAGAGGGATGCAATACATTCACAAGTTTTTCGTAAAGGTAAATAACTTCTGAAATTAAAAGTCGGCTTTAGGAGAAATACCTAATGCCGATGACAGAATGATGACTGTCAAACCACCATGTCGCGTGTATGCCTGTGTAACGAACCTGCACATTCTGCACGTGTACCCCAGAACTTAAAGTATAATTTTTTTTTTTTGATACAGAGTTTTGCTCGTTACCCAGGCTGGAGTGCAATGGCGCGATCTCGGCTCACTGCAACCTCCGCCTCCTGGGTTCAGGCAATTCTCCTGCCTCAGCCTCCTACGTAGCTGGGATTACAGGCATGTGCCACCATGCCCAGCTAATTTTTTGTATTTTTAGTAGAGATGGGGTTTCACCATGTTGACCAGGATGGTCTTGATCTCTTGACCTCGTGATCCACCCACCTCGGCCTCTCCAAGTGCTGGGATTACAGGCGTGAGCCACCGCGCCCGGCACTTAAAGTATAATTTTAAAAAAACGCCTGTCTGCCTCTCACTCTTCTACTTCAAGCAGCTCCATTAATCCCCATGAGGTGACAAGGGGTGGTGCAATCCCAGATGTCACTGGACATTGGTATAATTTGAAGACACCAACATCCGTCCTCTGTAACAGTGCCCCAGTCTTCACAAGAGGACAGTGCTTCATCTCATGGGGTGTGTTCTTAGCGAAAAGTAATTTGAGGAACCATTTTGTTTCATGGAAGCCACCTCTGGTCCCTCTCCCACCCCTGGCACAGCCAGCTAGTAGAGAGGTGACCCAGCAGGGGCTGCATGGAGGTCTCTGCAGCTTATGTGCATATAACCAGGAGAACTACTGAAAGAATCCACTGTGAGGGCAGGAGAGAGTTGCTGAGAAGCTGCTATGTCCTCGCCCAGTCTCCAACCTCCATCAGACTCTGTGTGGCCAAGCTGGGTCCCATTATATCCGTCTAGTAAATCCTTCTATTTATTGTTTTTTTTTTAAATTAGCTGGAGTGTGATTTACGGCCTGCAACTTAGAATATCACTGGATACAGCAGGGCATATTTTACCTGAAACAGAAGAAGAAGAAACCCTATTCTGGGCCAACACAGGTTCAGAGGTTACGTCACTCACGTGGATGAGGCTCACAGGGTCAATCTCAAACCGCCGTATTATTTCCTAACAAGCTTTAAATCTTCTGCATATCGGGCTACCCAAACCACCAGAGAATATCCTCTGAGCCTCATCAGTTCCAGGTCACTCTGCCCATGGTCAAACACTCGTATTTTGTTCTCCTGCTGTCTCCTTTCTCAGTGTCACCTTTGCAAGAATATCTCCTCAATAACGTCTTATTCCGACCTGGTCTTCAATGCAATCCCAGTGCGAGGCAGACAGCGCTGAACAAATTCTTGAGCACTTCCAACGGCAGAGAGCTCGGTAAAGTGCACGTATTCGTTAATTATCAGCGATTCGTTCATGCATTCAAGATTAAGGCTGCCCATGCCTTTAAGAACAGCCCCGAATCTGAGCCTGTTCGGCTGATAGTTCTGGGCTGTTAGGTAACCAAGGGATTGCTACATGTGTACTCAGCTCCAGCCTCCCATTCAGATCTGAAGACCAGAGCGCTTTTGAAACAGACTCCTGCGGCAAAAAGGAATGGAAGAATAACCGGTGAAGAGGTGAAAGCAGCAGCGCCGGTTCTTACCTTCCTCCAGGCCCATCACGGGTAAGCAGAGACTGGGATGCACCTGAGCCTCCCTCTCCATCGGGGAGGGACATAGGAGAATGTGTGGTGAGAAGAACGTGGAGGAAAGAGTTCCGGTGCCATGAGGTGCTTCCGCTGTTCACTTGAAGGAAAGCATTTTCTGGGATTAACGGGATGGTTAGATGCCTCAGGCATGAAAGAAAGCGTGTGGCTTTTCTTTCCTTGCAGATGTCCCTTTGGAAGAGCGAAGCGGCAGGATAGAACAGAGGTTGTATGACAAAGGCCCTGCCTGGGCTTCCTTGTTCTTAAAGAGTGAAACACACACGCAGATATACATGAATACAAATACACACGCAGAGAGAAGCTAACTCCTGTGCTTCAGTGACTCCTGTGCTCCAGCCCCCGCATGCCCGTGTCCACAGGCACGCACCAGGGAGGTGTACAGTGGGTGGTCAGTCGCTATCGATAAAGAGCTCAAAGCACAGCCTGATTTGCAAATGTAAGTGATGCATATTTGCAAATGTCCCTCCCGTTGATGGCAGTTAGTCTGACCCCCTCTCACTGTAGTCATCCTTGAGTGGCTGTGGATGTCCAACTGGTACCTGACCTATAAAACAGGAGCCCAGTGCTGGGCCGTGCCAGCGCTTTCAACACAGAGTGTCTAGAACCACAGTCACCATTGGGAGAAAAGCTCCCAAGGATATCTGGCTGGATCCTTCAGGGTTATTTACAGCGGATGCTCAGACAGAACAGACGCACACCAATTCTAAACATTTGGAAGCTATGCTGGATTAGTGTCAAATTGACTTCATTTAAGAAGATATACAGTATTATTATCTTCTAATTATAGGAATTCAAGCTAAAGGATAATAATCTTGCCAGGTCCAAGTTTACCTCCAGCTGTTTACATAAATACACGAGATTCATCCATAATCAGAGCGTTTTAAATATGCAGCAAGCACATGAATGCAGCCTCTTGAAGAAACAGTGTAGCCTCTTACCGACGTAAACGCACATTCATGAAACATTTCCTTCCTTGTTGTCTAATCTGTAAAACTGATTTTTAAATCGAGTTGACATGCCTAATTGATGGGCTCTGAACATACATTTTTTTTGCTGTACTTCCCAACTTTTCCAAAGTCCGACTTGTGAGCAGAGCCACCGAATTTAGAAGCTTCAAATACATTTGCTTCTGAATTCGCCAAGACTTGGAACCTCATATTGTACAGCCCAGCAAAGCAAATTTCTCTTGGTTTTGTTACAAACTGCCAAAGATAAAAGCCACCCTTGGACCCTAATGGATATGTTTAGACTGTAATAAAGTCATGAGACACAAAGCTTTTTGTGAAATTCAATACTACACACATCACTGCTTCCACACACGCGTGTGCACACACACACCGCCCCCCCCCCCCACAAGCTGCATGTGGATCTCATCTCCTGAGAATCAAAGCTTCAGGGGATTGCAGTTTTTAATCCTGGGTTCAGAAAATCAACAGTCAGTCACTGGCAAACCTAAAAGATGGCAGACAGTTTGAAACCGGGTAAGAACAAAGCTCCCCTATTCAAACCTTTTGTTTCTACCACCAAAATATTTCTCTATATAGGCAGCCATCCTCACAAAAAATACTGTGTAAGACTGTTGAACCCAGAAAAGGAAAACATAAAGCTAGCAGACCCCGCTGAGGACCTGAGGCCAGCTGGACTTAGATATGATTTCCAGAGGGACAGAAGCGAAAGCTAAGGAAGGCTCAGCCTCGCAGATGTGCTCCTGTGCCCCAAATCCCTGCGGCTAATCCGGAATGGCACATCCAACCAGGCCAAAGGTTTTTACCTTCCAGGACTTAGCCAAATTCAGTCATTAGGTGCACGGCCATTCGGTTCTGTTTCTTTCGTTAAAAATCAAAAAGGCATTTCTAATCAAATAAACTTAAATGTGCAAGGTAGAATCAAAACAATGATGTATTTTTTTGAACTCATCCACCCTTTACACATAAAGAAAGAAAGAAAGAAGGAAAGGAAGAAAGAAAGAAAGGAAAAGATGGAGAAAGCAATTCCACATGAACTTTATAAACCCAGGTGTGAAACAGGTCGTACATAGAGCTGCACTCCTAATCTCCGGAGTCACAGCACACATTTCATTACACTGAGCATCAGGTCAAATCGCTGAGTTATGTAGCAGTGTTAAGACATTTCTAATAATCAATCATTTATACTCAACAGCTGTTATAATCAAACTTGCCTGGGTTGAAAATAAAACCAAAACTCTATAATGAAAACACAATCCAGCCAAGGCAAGCAGCTTCTCTCATACATTCTATTCCAAAGGGAAAACTAGCCCGTGTTGATTCTAAAGTACACACAGCTTATTTTAAATGTCTTGTCTTTGGTATATTCTTATATAAGAAACTCAACAAATTCTACTGTATATTCTTCACACATCATGCTCATTTATTTTTTTGAACACTTAGCTCTATTTCCAGGGAGAAACAGAATGATAACTTTGAGGTTGGTACCATATTATACTTAGAACTTAGATCTCTGGAATGGATTTTGAGTTGGCAGAAGCTTCCCTATCCTTGCTGACAACTGTCGCAATTTCACTGCAGTCTCATTTCAGCTGTGAGGCATTTAACTCTCCAGTTCTGAAATGGCTCCTCGGATAACTTTAGCATTCCCAACACTTGCTGAGAATACCCTAAACTAAGGCAGAAGGCATAACATCAGCAGCCCCCTGGCTGCCCCGTCGATGGCCTGGAAAATCTATTAGTACAGATATTCTCACAACTGAATTGCCAACCTGGAAAGATCAGACTGGTCTCTGGATTTCCCAGGGCAGGTGGGGCTTGTAAAGATGGGAAGGCCGGCTCTCCTCTGGTGAGCGATAACACAGCTCTTCTGGTCAGATAGTTTCTCGAAAGCACAAGCTGATGGGCGAGCAGGTACAGACAGACAATGAGAAAGGACTTACCTCAAGGTGAAGCGATCTTCAGTGGCATTTCTGGAGATGGAAACAGGGAACGTCAGCACGTCTCCCTGCCTGACCGTCTTTGGTATGTAGTGGATGGCCACACTGCTGTCCAGGCGCAGCTCTCTCAGGGAAGGTTTCCTGTGAGTCTGGTAAAGGAAGATGCTCCCAATCCTCTGCAGTGGGGGGCCGGAGTCGTCGAGGTCACTGTGGCCTGTCCGAATCCCATTGCTTTTCCTCGCCTCTTCCCTGACACAGTCCCCTCTCTCACCCCCTGGGTGCACGGTGTAGTAGAGCTCCACAGGGGTCCCCTCCGGCTGGTCCACGGGCCTCCTCCTCCCGGCCACCGCCGTCGGGGCACTGAACCAGCTGGACAGGAGCTCCAGCTCGGCCACACACAGCCCCAGGTCCCCCTGCAGCCGGCAGCTGCCCCGCACCTCTCTGGTCTCTCGGAAAGCAAAGACCCTCAGGCACGGCAGCTTCTCCCCGGCACTGCGGTCGTCCCAGTCCCTGCCCACAACGTGGAACAGAACCTGCACTTTGGGCCGGCTCAGGTAGACTTGATCCTGCAGGATGTGGGCTTTCAGTTTCCAGTTAAGAGAAAACTTGTTGGTGAATCCAAATGGGTTGGAAGGTAGCATTAAATCCTGGGGTACCACCTGCTCGATGGAGAAAGGCCCGTAGCTGGCATTTAGAACAGGCAGCCTCTTGGATTTGTAGATGAGAAATGACTCCACCCGGGACTGCAGGCTGGAGTTCCTCATGATGTCCTGGTTGGCCTCCTTCAGGAAGAAGGAGACGTCGGCGTTGTTGATGTGGTAGGTCACGGGGAGGTAGGTGGGCAGCAAGGAAAACCTCTGGATGCTCTCAAGGATCCCGCGACCTTCCGTCACTGTCGGGAGGGAATTGGAGCGCAGGTGTTAGTGGTGCTGAGGTCGTCACCAGTATTTCAGACATCTGCGTGCCCCTTCCTACCAGGTGACCCTGCCTTCATGCCAGTAATGCGGTTCCTTACCCAAACCCCTTCCTTGCATCAACGCGCTTCATAGTAATATATTTGTTTTAAAAGAAACAAATGCCACCAATGTAGAAAACCAGTATCATTTAACCCATAAAGAAGTTTAACATGCAAACAAATACAATTCAAATACAATTTTAAAATTTCAACTGGTGGTCATGGTACTTTTATGGGATTATTGTGAAGATTTGCTCTTTTTTGCTAAAAGGAGAGATGGGCAAGTACTAGAAAGCTGCCACAAGCACACCAGCACCCACAAAAGCGGCCACAAGCACACCAGCACCCATGAAAGCTGCCACAAGCACACCACACCCACGAAAGCTGCCACAAGCACACCAGCATCTATGAAATCTGCCACAAGCACATCAGCATCCACAAAAGCTGCTAAAAACACACCAGCACCCACGAAAGCTGCCACAAGCACACCAGCATCCACGAAAGCTGTCACAAGCACACCAGCATCCACGAAATCTGCCACAAGCACACCAGCATCCACAAAAGCTGCCACAAGCACACCAGCATCCACGAAAGCTGTCACAAGCACACCAGCATCCACGAAAGCTGCCACAAGCACACCAGCATCCATGAAATCTGCCACAAGCACACCAGCATCCACAAAAGCTGCCACAAGCACACCAGCATCCACGAAATCTGCCACAAGCACACCAGCATCCACAGAGACGCAACTTCCCAGTGACACAATGCAGGCTAAGACTGGAAACAAGATTAACTTTCTCAACGCATGGACCGCTGCTATGTCCACATTCCACCCGATATTCTTTCATGTTCCCATACACACATGCTGCATTTAAGGACATGTCCAATGAGAAATGGTAACAGACTTGGGGCAAAAATAAATTCAGATGAGCAATCATAAATCACACAGACAGTGTACATCCGTCCCTTGGAGTTAAGCTGAGAGATGCCAAGAAAAGACCTTGGAAGGATATATTGGGAGGGGCCCTCCAGAAATAGAAGAGATGGTGTGACCACAGCACCAGCATGTCAGGGCCAAGCGTATAAAACACGTACTCCCGTCATCTGTGCAACGCTGGCCCCTAGAACCTAGGAAGCAGGGTGGCCCCTCACTTCCACCCCAGCCACATCCTTCGGACATGATGCTGTCACCAAGGAACGAAAACCACTGCTCACTTTCCCACACTGATCTCACCTCTCCCTCAGAGGGAGGAAAACCCAAAATGTGATTTTACAGGTGGCCTTACATTCTGTAAGAAAAATGCAGGCAGAGCAATCGCATCATCCAGAGAACCAATTTAAGGAGTTTTCCACCTGGAAACTATTGGCTCTGAGAACACTGAGTTTCTAGGCAAAGCTCCGCAGTTAGGCTCTCGTCAGTCACCGTGTAATTATCTTTGATTAGTTGGATGACTCATTGTGTCATCTTTCTCAGAGGCCCACAGGAACACACATTCCGAAGCATGATGCCCACCCAAGTCAGGACCCCTCTTGGGAGTCGTCTGCCAGCAGCTGAGAGAGCACAGAGCTCGGAGGCAGGGGTCCTGCTCCTAGCCTTGTGAGAACATGAGCGGGTCACTGACCCTCACTGTTTCCCGTGGAGCCATCAGAGGGGGCTGATTGGAGCAGCGTAGCCTCAGCCCAGCTGTGACACCGCGGGGTGTCAAGCGGCATCCAATTTAACTTTTAGAGAAGAAGTTCAGCGCACACATTCAACTTGAGTTTACAGAAAGCTCTGGATGAAAAACTCTCCCCATTCAGCGGCATTACCAAACTCAGAGCAGGCTGAGCTTCCATTTAAACAATCACGGTTTGTCTTGGGGGAACCGTTTGAGACTGCTTATAAGCGGGAACGGTCTGCACCCAACCAAATGACAATTTCCTAGGGTTCAATGTCATAAATAGGGATTTTTGTTTTCAAAAATGAAAATAAAGATATAAAAAGGGACTCCATGCCTTAAAAAGATTACATGTTTCAACTTTATGGAAATCATTCCTAATTTATATTTTCTCTAAACTTGTGTTTTCACATGTGAGTCACAGTAAAACAAAGAAGTGGGAGAGAATTTTCATCCCTTCCCTGGGTACCCTCCCCAGTGGCCCAGCCACTTTTCTGTGACCTCTCTGGCTGCATTATAAAAGTCATTTTTCTGGGATCGTTTCCTTGACTGTATGATTCGGGGTTATGTTCTCCAGCTGTGTTTTCCTGTAGCATCCCCAACTTCCTTTATCAAAAAACGTTATGCTTTGCTGTGGTTCTCTATGCACTCCAGGGTGTGATATGCCAGGGAGCAGAAACGACACGCAGGGCTTTTTCTCCACTGTATTCATGGTCTTCAACAGAGTGCCTGGTAAACACCAGGTACTCAATAAATATTCAATAAACACGTGAATGAATGATTCAACAAGTGGACTATGCTTCTTACATTACAAAGAGCAGATTCTGTTTTTACATTAGGTTGTTATTCACTGTCCTTTTCACTTCCATCACTGTAACCAGAATTCTGGATTCCTTTTTTTTTTTTTTTTTTTTTTTTGAGGCAGAGTCTTGCTCTGTCACCCAGGCTGGAATGTGCAGTGATGCAATCTTGGCTCGCTGCAACCTCTGCCTCCCAGGTTCAAGCGATTCTCCTGCCTCAGTTTCTCATGTAGCTGAGACAACAGACACCTACCATCATGCCCAGCTAACTTTTATATTTTTAGTACACACAGGGTTTTGCCATGTTGGCCAGGCTGGTCTTGAACTCCTGACCTCAAGTGATCCACCCACCTCGTCCTCCCAAAGTGCTGGGATTACAGGTGTGAGTCACAGTGCCCAGCCAGAATCTTGGGTCCTCTTATCCCATTAAGAGCTCCATGTAATCTTGGTAATATGGGACTAAAGAAGATGGACCTCTCTGTGCAACGAGACTCCCATAAGAACCACATCAATGACACAGCATCTGCTATTGTTAAAAACACATTGTGGCACCACTCAGAACAAGTACCTTGAGTGGCCTTAGCACTCTCTTGTCATTCGTGCTAGAAACAGCCAGAACCAGACAACCAAATCACAGATGGCTACCCGTTAATGCCAGACACCAAGGCTCCATAAACGTCCCTGTTGAACATCTAACCCCGACTACTTGAGGACACAAAACTTAATTGTGCGACTAATGACACAACCCAAGGGCAATGACACTGATTTTATTCAGGAAAGCAGTAAGGCGATCCGGGGTCACTGTGAACGGCATGGGAAGGGAGGTAACGTCTTAGCTTCATGCCACAAATGGGCTGTGCGTCGTTTTGCCTGGTATCTGACCTCAATGTTTATTGATTAAAATTACTCCACCTTGACCTGAAGCTAGTGTTACTTCCTTTCTTTTCTTAAATAATACCACAAAAATAATGCCAGTTATGTTCCACAATGCACAGAATGAACAAAGCAACACTTGTCTTCTCATCCTTGCCGGAGTGCTTACCTCCACTAAAGGACGCCATTCTTACTAAACATAAAAATGAGCCAAGTGTTAGATAACAGAGGCTGTACGTGGAATGCCACAGTTAATAATTCACTAAGGAAAAAATTACTTTTTAATTGGGTGCCATGGCTGTAATACTCATTTGAGGGAGAGTGACATCTTCACATCTTGAAGCAACTGAGTGGTCTGGGAAAAGTTTCATATTAATTTCAACGCTTTTCAAAGAATCAGTTTTCCCCTGAATAATATCTTTTATAAAAATATGGGAAAGAAGGCAATTTGAGCACCAGACTCTCTATTTTCCCCCATGTGGACCCAAAGGCAATAACTAATAGAATATGCTAATCGGCCAAAAAAAAAAATCCACATCCATGCTGAAAATCGGGTACAGCCTGCATGCCATGAACTGCAAGAATTAATGGGGAGTCACAAGGGACTCAGATGCCTCACACAGAAAACAGAATGATTAGGACTGCCATGTAAAACACAAACACCTAATTATATTTTGATTTCCAGTGAACAGAAATATTACATAGGGGCATCCTTATAATTAAAAATAAATGTTTAAAAATGGTGTTTCTCTGAAATTCGAATGTAACTTGGCATCTTGTGTTTTCATTTTGCAAATCCGGGAATCTTCAGCGTGGTATTGCCGTAGAAAGAAGAGTTGTCAGCTGCGTAGATATCTGTAAGACACCTGCTATCTATGCAGCTGACAACTGATATCTACCATGATATTTGTAAGAGCAAAGGCCATGGGCCACGTAGGTGCTCCTGCACCTGACAATACTCCCAAGGCTGGGAGCCCAGCTCTACCATCAGCTGAATTGAGAGACCCAAGCATAGGGGTGGCTGTGCCACACAGAAAGCCCTAAAACATCAGGGCGTGTTGCTGATGCTCTTGTTCCCTAACAGAGGCAATGATGGGGGCAGGAGGTCTGACAGAGCCACGCTTTGCTCCTGATGAGCCCAAACCTAAAACCACTTACAGGAAGCCAGTGGCCATGCAGCCCTTCCACCCAACTCACAGAAGGCACCTTGTAGCAAGGAACCTCCCCTGCTGGGCATGTCAACACCCCAGTGCATCCTCACGGTCCCCCGGGGCTGCCGGGTCATAGGGTAACATGCTATGCCAATGCAAAAAAAGGGCTGACCTCAGTGAAGGATATGTAAATAAACAAAAACAAAAGGAGAACAGGACCTACCAATAAAAGCTGCCAAGTAACAAGGAAATTCAGAAAGACCTTCCGGAAGTAGAGGAATAACATACCTTTGAAGAGTATTTACCATAGAATATTGAAGCATCCTTTATACAAAATGACTTTTGAGCTCACAGTCATCAAGAAAAGCAGAGCCTTTGTTGTTTTGTAGCGAAATAAGACTGAGATGGAAGAAGATCCGGCAGCGTTAAAAGTAAGGAATTTAAAATGGTTTCAG